ATCATACTTGCGTAGAAAAAGTGTAATTTAGTTGATTTTATTTGCAAATACATGTATGACTCGAATTTTATTTTTAAAAGGAAAATTTGGCTGGGAAGAATTATTAAAATGGTCTTAATCGAACCCGAATAAGCATTTTTTGCAGTAATTAATGTTATTTGCGCTAAGAAACTCCGGGCTCATCCTGTTGCTACCACGAAGAATCCATCCTGAGCTCTAGCTATGTTTTTGATCAGTACTTTGCTCGATCTATAGTAGCCAAGTGTCCAGTGCATTTTTCAGGCCCATAGACATTTAAAATTGGTTTTTTATTCTATTAGCAGAAACACACTCCGATCTAAAAAGAGGTTTTGCAATCTCTCAAAAAGAATGCAGGGCTGGGAAGTCTTAGTTTAGCTAACGGCAGGATTAGGTGCTGTGTTGCTGGCAAGGTATCATCGTCACAACACAATTCAAGCTATCGAGTCGAGAAAACTGACTCGTTAGCTTGAATTGTTTTCTTACGATGATACCTTGCTCTGATGATGTTCATCATATGACGGACGAAAGCTTAGCACCTTTTCACTTGAATTGAAGGAGATTACATCGGAAACAGCGTCAGCATAACTATTCCATTAAAGCCAATCGACAGCTGGTCAAGAGGAATCCGCCGTCTTCTTCTGGTGGAACTGTCCTTCGAATCTCTTCACCCAACACTTTCACTCGAAATCGAAGTAAGCTCAATAATCTGTTAACGTCTACCACATTACATATTAGAGCCCAGTCCGAATTCATCATGCTCATGCGACGTCATATTGTTGATTTCTTCGCAAAAATCTATATTCACCCCAAAGAAATCATACATTCGTTTCATTTGAGGCCAATTTATGAATCCCTTCAACCTGCCTTTTCTAATACAATAAGGGTTCAGGTTTAACGAATGCTTTGGAATTCATTTCATACTTATTTGTGAGTTAGGTATTACTTTTAAAAGGCACTACTTTTTCCATAGCTCTCGTAGTTTATTATCTTTAGAACTTATTTATCTTGTTAAGTTACTAATAAAAGTATGATTCTTGTTTCACGCCTAGTAGAAAAGTGTTTTTCGAGCATCTAATTGTGCTCTGTTAATCTCAGTTCAAGAATCCCCTTTATTTACTGCTTCTTACTAATAATCGTTTTTGACATTACCTCTACAAATTCGCTTCAACTTTCCAAACCATTCTACCTTAACTTCCGCTCTTCAAAGACGTATGACGGTGGATTTGCTCAAATGCCTGGTTTGGAGGCGCATGCTGGTGGTACATACTGTTACTTGGCTAGTCTACACTTACTCGGTTGTCTTGACGAGGTTCTGCCGTCCGAGTCACAGGCTCGCCGTCGTATTATTCGGTGGCTTGTCAACTTGCAGACCGAAGGCTTTCACGGACGCATTGGCAAGCCAGACGACTCTTGTTATACATTTTGGGTCGGCGCCAGCCTGCATGTTAGTTTGCTTAATTTTACAATTACTTTTTTACCTTCCTTATTAGTTTTAATTGTCTTCTTCTGCCAAACATTTTTCGGCCTCTAATCGGCCTTTTATATCTTTACGAATAACCATTATGCTTAGTCTTTTACCGGTACTTGATGTTTTGGCATGTCCCATCAATCTTTGTATTTGATTTCCTGTTCATGCTTACGAATCCAGGGCCCCCTCTCTCAGCCATCTTAGTTTGACTTCTTTGGTTAACTGTTTTAACTCCTGGATGAACTACCCTTAAATATTCTCTTGATATATACTCTTGATTAGCATTGACTTTAGCCGAGTTTTCAAATATTTGCCTTACTATAATTTGCCGAACACTGATTTTGTATAGGTAAATAAAAGCTGAATTCTTTGGCTCAGTATTTTTTAGTGATTTTCTTATGCTTTGACAATGATAATCTGAAGACTATTAGGCATTCATCTGTGGCATAGGATGGCATGCCGTAGACTTCTACGTACTAGCCAACAATCAAACACCGAGGCAATACTCCGCTTTACGACTGAGGCCAATCTATGATTCACTTACACTCAAACTTTTATGCATAATGATTAGTCCGGAGTATGGTTTATTGGTGTATCTAAGTCCGTATTCTTCAAATGGTTATATCGAATCAAAAGGTTCTTACTTATTATAGGACTGGACAAATTGCATGAAAAAACTGGATGTAAGAAGGGATGTAAAAGATGTAGAAGATATTTTGATAGGATCAAAGGATACTTGGTGTTACTTGATGGCCGTTGGATACTCGGGAGCTGAGGAAGAACTGAGCGCAATCAAAAGTGATGTTCATTGCTAAATCGTAAGCCTGAACCTTTTAGTTGGCATAGCTTGTCTCTTGTTGGAGTAACTTTCATTTCGTTTGAAAAGGTGAGTGGAGGGGATTCATAAGTTAGTTCCACAGGAGACTGTGGGGGGGATTGCCTTGGAGCTGTGGTTGTAGATTTGTGCGAATAGATCTTCGACGCACTGCCCTGCGACCCCGAGGAATCCTTGCTGAGCTTTCGTCCGTCATGTGACGGACATCGTCAGAGCAGAACACCATGGTTAACTT